ACGATTCCAGAGCGATGTTGGAATCTCGCTCCATGGTTGCAGTGCCGATTGTCACAGAGAGACGACATCCCCAGCACGTCTCCAGAGCGGTCCAATCATATTAAACGATTGAAAATTGGCCCCCGTAGCCGCTCAGCGATGAGTCTTGACTCGTCACCAATATGAATGGAAGCCTCCTCGAGTAGTCCATCCTAAACCACTACGCCTAAGCAGCCCCCTCTTCTGCTCCCAATTAATAATACGATCTTCCACCGTCACCATGTGGTGGATCTAGTGGACAGATTACCAGCATTTACGCTGGCACAGATGTACACCGCAGAGTGTACAAAGTAGAGTGTTATGCTGTCGCATTATCAGGTAGGTGTAATCTCCCCTCCGGCACACCACCTTGACGTGGTGGTGGAGCTCCCCTTCGCTTGTTTAGAAAGGGTCTAAGAGTGTGCCAGCCGACTCGGCCAACGTATGAGTGTGATTTGTTTTTATTTATTTTGGGTGAGTTTTGTGGATTGGATTGGGGGTATGTGGGAGTTATGTGGGGGATTTTTCAATTTTTGTGGGGGGTTATGTGGGGATGTGGGGGTGTATGGGTGTAGGGTATTGTGGGTTTGGGTGGGAAGGGTTTTGGGGTTTTTGTGAGTAGGGGGGAGGGTGTATGTATGTCCCTTACGGGACGGTTGGCCGAGCGAGGTGGAGAGGAAGGAAACCTCGCTGAAAAATCCCGGGTAGGCCAAGCTCGTTAGGCGTAGTAAAGCCAACTGGCCTAGGTGAAGGAAAACACCGAAATTAAACCGCCTTTTTGATACAATAATGATGAGTACAAATAAGGGTCACAAACTTACCGACTCAGTGGGCCTCGGAACCCACAGGGTCTGGTGCGGAGGGGATGTAGTCCCAGCTCTCCTCGTGTCGTTATCCGACGATGGGCTACCCGCGGCGTTGCCGACGAGCGCCGCGGGCGAAAGAGCTATCGTTGCGATCAAGGAAGTGCGGGTGACCGCAGTCAGGATCGACCGGCCCGGACCGTCTTCTTCGAAAACGAAATCAAGGGCAAGGTCGAGCTCTGCTGTTAGGCTTCACCCCTATCTAAGGGATAAGGGCAAACCCCGGGTCGCGAGCCTCACTCGCCCCGGGAGCTCGGATGCCAAGACGGCATCCAAGGAGGGTAGCGTCAGCCGCACCCCCGCATCGTCGGGGACTCCCTATGCGAGCGCTAGTGGTAGCGAGGGCTCGCAGGAGTCCCTTACGGAGATGGGCCCGACGGGCTCCCTGTTAGGAGGGGGAGGGGTAGACGCATCGGGACCGTGGTCAATCGGAACCGTGGTCAATCGGTACCGTGGTGAATCGGGACCGTGGTCAATCGGGACCGTGGTCAATCGGGAACGTGGTCAATCGGGACCGTGGTCAATATCAACGTGGTCAAACGGGACGCTCCCCGCGGGAACAGGGGCCCCCTCCTCCGCCGCCGCGTGCCTGTGGCCAGGACAAATCCTGGTCCCGGGTCGTGGGGCGGAAGGAAAGGAGGGCCCAGATGGCTGGAACCGGACAACCGGCCCAGCCCAATGGGCGGAGAAAGCCCACTGCCCGCGCCCCCTTCCCGCTCCTAGGAGCAAAGGGTGGCAGCAGGGCAAGAGACAGCCCCCTAAGGGGGCCGCCAAGAGGAGACCCCCCCGAACAGCGACCGTGACGATTACGTGCGCTGACGGGGGATATGAGAAGGCCCTAACGAGGGCGCGGAGGGAGATCGATCTCCGGGAACTGGGGATCGACTCCTTCCGGATCCGGGAAGCAGCCACTGTCGCGATGGTGGTTGAGCTGCCGGGGTCGGGCGAGAAGAAGGGCCCGACCGCCGCGTAAAAGGCATGTGCCCTAATACTCGACCTCCGTCGCGTCTTTGCCGGCGACGATGGGGTGAGGCTCGCTCGCCCCATCAGAAAAGCGGAGCTGCGGCTAAGGGGCCTAGACCGCTCCCTGGCGGCCGCAGACGTCGCGGCAGCTATCGCCAGGGAAGATGGCTGCCTCTCGGAGGAGATGCGGGTCGGGGACGTCAAGTTCCCGACCAAGGGCATGGGCACCGTGTGGGCCCAATGCCGGCTAAAGGCGGCCAACCGTAAGTCCACGGCGCGGACCATCCAGATCGGATGGTCCAGGACCGCAGCGGAGCTGCTGGAAAAGAGGCCCCTACAATGCTTTAAATGCTTGGAAAGGAGGCACGTCCAGCAGCACGATAGATAGGAGTGGCTGCTGCTACCGCTGCGGCGAGATGGAGCACCTTGCGCGCGATTGCGCCGGCGTGATTAAGTGCTCCATCTGCGCGGGGTTGGGCCGCCTAGCAGACCACCCCCGGAGAGGCCGGAGCAGGCGAGACGCGTGACGCTCCCCTCGGCCGTTGGATCTCGGCCAGTTAAACTGGCCGACATCACAGATGGCCGATTGTCCGACATCTGCAAACGCGGGGCGGGCGACGAGGGGGCTTCTGCGGAAACTCCCCAAGAGAAAAAGCCCCCTAGGGCCAGGCCGAAGGCCACCACACCTCCGACAATGATGTCGGAGGTGATGATGGCCGAACCTGAGGGCCACGTTAAATAGTGGCCCTCAAATTATTGTAGGCAAACCTCAACCACGCCCGCCGGGCGCAGGACCTCTTTCTGCATACTCTAGCGGAGCGTGGTTGCGGTTTGGGGATCGCGGCGGAGCCCTATCTAATCTCCGAAGCCAATCCATGCTGGATTGGCGACGGGAGGGGCTCCGTCGCGATCGTCTGGCGCAACGAATCCCTACTCCCCCGCTGTACGCCTATTGTGGCAGGATGGGGAGTAGTAGCAGTTCGTTGGGGGCCCATCTCCGTTGTGGGATGCTACATCTCCCCGAACGTGGACCTCGCCCACTATGAGGCGTTTCTGGACGGGGTGGCGGCAGTATATCGCCGCCAACTGCCCCATCCGGTGATTGTGGCCATGGACTTCATCAATGCGAAATCAACGCGTTGGGGTTCCCGGTCTACGGACGCAAGAGGCGAGGTCCTACAGGACTGGGCGGCGGCACTCGGCCTGTGCTGGTTAAACACAGTCGAGGCGTCTGGCGGCTATCGAGGAGCACCCTCGTGCGGTGGCAGGGAGAGTCGGTCCCGGATTTGTCCTGGGCCACTTCTGCTGCCGCGCGGTTAGTTGGTAGTTGGCGGGTGGCGACGGAGTGCGAGACACTATCGGACCACCTCTACATAGAGGTGGTCCTTACCGCCACCCGCCACGGGGTGCTCAGCCGCTCCCAGGGCCGGGAAGATGCCCGGCCACGGAGATGGGCTCTCAGAAAGCTCAACTCGGACAGGCTAATCGCGGCTGTCCTCGCGGCCGACTGGCCGTGCCCAGGGGGTGAAGGGCGGAGGATAGAAGAAGAGGTAGATTGGTTCCGGGATGCGTTACGTGATGCGTGTGACTTCGCGATGCCCCGGACCAACCCCCGTCCGCGGATAGCGGCGTACTGGTGGTGTGAGGAGATTGCCGAACTACGGCGCTCCTCGATAGCCGCCAGACGCCGCTTCACCCGGGCTCGGCGTCGAAACGACGCCGAGAGGACAGCCACAGCGTATGAGGGCTTCCGAGTCGCAGGGAACGCCCTCAGATTAGACGGGCCAAGGCCAGGGAGTGGGACGAGTTACTCCACTCCCTGAACTCAGACCCATGGGGGCGCCCCTATAAGCTTGTGCTTAACAGGCTGAGATTATGGGCGCCCCCGGTGACGGAGTCCCCCGAACCTCAGGTTCTCGACGAAGTCCTGGGGGCCCTCTTCCCTTCAGAGGGTCCCCCTTTTTCGAGTGGCGGCCAGGAGACCGCTGCTCCACGGGCCGAGGACTTGGAGGTGACGAGGGACGAAATGGCCGGGGTAATTCGTCGTCTGAGGCTGCAGGGCAATAAGGCTCCGGGCTCCGACGGTATCCCCGGCCGGATCTGGGTGATGGCCTTGGACCACCTGTCCGAGCGTCTGAGGCAGCTTTTTACAAGCTGCCTTAGACAGGAGTATTTCCCCCCCGGCTTGGGTGAGGGCCAGACTGGTCATCTCAAAAGGGGGCAGGCCTGGGAATTCTTCTTTTGCCTATCGGCCGATATGTTTACTGGACGAGGCGGGCAAGCTGTCGGAACGCTTGCTGGTAGACCGCCTCGTCCGGCATCTGTCCCGGAGTGAAATGGATCTCCACCAGGATCAGTATGGATTCCGCGAGGAAATATCAACGACCGACGCAATCTTTCGCGTTCGATCCCTCGTGGAGTTCATTATGGAGGAGGGCAGGGTGGTCGTTGCGGTATCGCTTGATATCCGCAACGCGTTTAACACCCTGCCCTGGAACAGGGTGAGGGAGGCCGCTGTCAACTTTGGCCTCTCCCCCCCTACCTGGTGGGAATCCTTGAAGCATACTTCCGAGACAGACGGCTGGAGTACACGGATAACCGTGTACTCCTGTGCAGAAGGGGAATGTACTGCGGGGTTCCGCAGAGGTCAGTGTTGGGCCCCACTCTGTGGAACCTCGCGTACAATAAGGATCTGGGCACTGCCCTCTTCCCCCGGCGGCAGCGTCGTCGGATATGCCGACGACATCATTGCGCTGACCGGGGGAGATAGCTGGGGGAAAGCTGCGAGAGCAGCCAACGTAGCGGTGGCGTGTGTCATTCGCGCGATCCGCGGCATGGGCCTGGAAGTAGCACCTCAAAAATCCGAGGCGCTCTTCCTACATCGGGGGGAGGATGGTGCTCCCCCGGAAACGGCCTATGTCGTGGTGGATGGCACCTCCGTCCGGGTGGGGACCCAGTTAAAGTACTTGGGTCTCTACTTGGACGATACCTGGAGCTTCGACGGGAACTTTGCGCGTCTGGCCCCCAGGGCGGAGGCAGTGGCTCACGCCGCCTCCTGCCCAATTTGAGTGGTCCGGACGGCAGAGTGCGCCGTCTATATGCGACGACCGTCCGAGCGGTGGCCTTTATGGGTCACTAGTTTGAGCGGATGCCCTGATGGCGAGTAGGCGCGGCAAGACGTTGCTGCGCCGAATATTTCGGCGGATCGCCATCAGGGTCATCCGCGGTTACCGGACGGTGTCACATGCGGCGGCCTCTGTTCTGGCGGAATTGCCGCCCATCGAGCTGTACGCCCAAATGTACGCCGAGGTGTACAGGCGTACAAAAGAGCTCGATGGGCTAGGCGTAGTACTGATCCCGCGGGTCAGGGCTGCCGTGAGGCTCCAGGCTCGGCGACGTATGCTGGAGAGGTGGATAGAAGACCTCTCCAATCCCCGAAATAACTCGGGGAGACGCGTCGTCAAAGCCATCCGCCCCCGATTAATCAAATGGGTGGAAAGGGCGGATGGCGAGATGTCATACCGTGTGGCACAGGTATTTACGAGTCATGGGTGTTTTGGCTCGTACCTGTGCCGCATCGGGCGCGAGATGGACGCACGCTACCATCATTGTGGTAGGGGCGAGGACACGGCGCAGCACACGCTGGAAGACTATCCAGCGTGGGCGAACGAGCGCCGTGCCCTCGTCCAACAGTTGAGGAGTGACGACCTCTCGCTCTCGAGCGTCATTACGACGATGCTCGAGGGCGAGGAGTCCTAAAAGGCGGTCTCCTCCTTCTGCAAAGCGGTTATGCTGCAGAAGGAGAAGGCCAAAAGAGAGAGGGAGAGACTCGTCGGCGGACGCCGGGGAACCTTCCAACGTGGTTGTGCGGCCGGAGGCGGGATGGGGACGCGGGGAGAGCCTTTTGCTGGCAGGACCCGCCAACCCTCCACGTCTTCCAGCCGCAGAGGTGCGGCGCAACGCCGCACCAGAAGACCCCAACGGGGGGTGTCGACTGGCGCGGGGACTGTTGTCCCCCGCAGCCCACGAGACCCTCCCCAGCTACGGGGTGACGCGGGTGGGGTGAGCGGACCTGGGGCCTATTGGTTCCGGTCCATGTCGGCTCCCTCCGCCGACGCGCAGGGCCCACGCAATAATCGGGCACGGTGGCCGGGGACCCAGGTGGGGTACCAGGGCCCGGCCACGTCAACCCCGCCACGCCAACGGCGGGAAGTGGATGAGAGGGGCGGTAGTTTCCCTCTCCTCAATACGAGCGGGAGTCCCCGCAATAACGACTCTGGGGGGGAGTGTAACTCTCTCCCCAGCGAGATAGGCTCGCGGGCGAAAGGCCTCTCCGAAGTAGTGCAAACGCCAGATTCCGGAAAGGCCTTCTTTAACGCCCGGGTGTAGGCCACCCGGAGTGGTTTTAGTGGGTAGTCCCCCGGCCGTTTGTTTAGGCCGGGGGTGAGTCCCACATAACCCCGCCTCGAACCCCATCGAGGCGGAGTATGCGTAAAGGCATTTCCCCTCCGTTACTGTTCAAGATTGAAACGTTAATTTAGTCGATAAAATTAAACTGTAAATTCAACCGACAAATCTGAACGCGTCCGCGTTGTCGTTATCGCATCTTCCGCCTATAAAATTACCCCCGTTCGACGGTAATTATGACGAATGGGAACAATTTTGCGATCGATTTACTACGCTAATTCGAAACAACACCGAGTTAAATGACTTTGCGCGCATGCATTTTTTATCATCGTGTCTGAATGGTCGTGCGTTAGAATGTATCGCGAATATTTCTATAACGGCTGCTAATTTTGAAATAGCGTGGAAAGCTTTGACCTCTCGGTACGAAAGCAAACGACGGTCGATAAACACACATCTTTCGACATTGCTTAACTTATCACCGATAACACGCGAGTCGGCTTCCGAGTTGCAAACATTATGTGACAAAGTTAATATCGCGGTAGCGTCGTTAAAAAATCTGAATCGAAAGCCGGAGGAACTCTGGAACGATATTCTCGTTCACCTTATTGTGCAAAAATTAGATCCGGTAACGCGAAAAGCATGGAACGTGAAAGCATGCGATACCGACGGCGTACGAAGATTTTCTTCGTTTTCTTCAATCTCGTACTCGCGCGCTCGAAGAATATGCGACAACCGCAAGTTCCAAGAACACTACCAAACCCGTCGCAGCCTTGCGCGTACATTCCGCCACTGCATCCGCTAGCACCCAGATTCTGTGTCCGGTGTGCACAGCTCGACATTTTCTTAATGTGTGCTCTTCGTTCGTGAGTAAGAATGCAAGTCAACGGTGAGAGCTCGTTAAGCAGCATAAACGTTGCTTCAATTGCTTAAGCGCGAAGCATTCCGCACAGGAATGTCGGAGTAAATATTCATGTCGAGTTTGCCACAAAAAGCATAATTCGATGCTACACGTTGACTCGGATTCTGGCTCAAGTTCCTCGAGAACTATTATGCCGGATTGCTCGTCGCCTCAACCGTCCGGTTCGACACCGGAAATAAATTCTCTGATCGCCTCAACGAGAAAGCGATCACCCGTCTTATTAGCGACGGCCTGGGTAACGGTGCGCTGTCCGTCCGGTCATACCGCTGTCGTTCGAGCGCTCCTCGATCAGGGCTCGGAAATGACATTCATTTCGGAAAGTTTAGCGCACCTCTTGCGCGTGAAACGCATTCGCATGCCGATCTCCGTTTCCGCCGTCGGCGGGATTCACGCGGGGACATTTCAACACGCGACTCACATATTAATTTCTCCTCGCAATTCTCTCGTTCCGTTGCTTTCGACCACCGCGCTCATTATGAAATCGTTAACTTCTTATACTCCGAGACAGAACGTGGACATCTCGTAATTCTCTTATCTCTCTGATTTGCCGCGAGCAGACGCGGATCCGACGAGCCTTGATCCTATAAATCTCATTATCGGAGCAGATCTCTATAACGATATCATTCTCGACAGTGTTCGCAAAGGAAGCGTCGGACAACCAATTGCTCAAAATTCCGTCCTCGGATGGATAATTTCGGGACCTATTACGTCATCAACGACGAATAATCTTTCAAAGCCGACAATTCTTTCTGGAAACTGCACTCTTACTCGCGTTTCAACTCATCATGTCGTTGGCTCTCCCTCGCTCGAAGAGGAAATTCATCGGTTTTGGGAGACCAAGGAACTCTCACGACAAAATCATCTCACACCGCAAGAAAAGCAGTGTGAAGAGCATTTTCGCTTAACGCATTCTCGCGAGTCTGACGGACGGTATGTCGTGCGGCTACCGTTCAAGAA